CGTCTTGGTTCAGTTCCGCACGTGTCCCTGTGGCACAGGAACTGGTTCTTTGTCGCCGGGATGTAAGCGTGTGCCGTGTTAACTGTTGTCACTCTGCTGTCTCCCGGGCAGCGATCCCTTATTAAGTTCCTAATTAGCTCCACTCTTCCCGGGCTCGAGAGGCTCGGTGGGTGGTGGAAATAGCGAGGTGTGACTGTTTCCTACACTTTGCTGCGGTCCAGGCCCATCCCCGCAATGAGGATGTGGTGTGGGCATCCATGGATGCATCCCCGGGCACTTACAGCATATCCCCAAGGCAGCAAATGTTCCACACAGACCCACTCAAGCACCTGGGGTCAACTGGCCCCAGTAAATCCACACATGTAAAACTTCTTTCTCGAGTTAACAGCCAGGCTTGGAGCCAGAGGGAAAGCTACCCAGGAACTCAGGGAGATAAAGACCTGAGTCCACCTGACAAAGGGCACCTGGGGCCTCACATCAGGGGACTTTTGGAGCCCATGCTCCCCAGTGTCTGAGTGTACCCGCTTCTTCAGGGAGGGACACCTGCCCAGACCCGCCGGCCCAGCTGCAGGGCAGGTGGCCGTGGCGCCGTCAGCAGCAGCCAGGACGGACCCTGCAGGCCTGCTGCTCTTCACTGGGCAGGGGACGTCTTCGCTCTCCTACGTTCAGCTGCTTCTTATCCCCCGTCCCCGCCCCCTCCCCTGACCAGAACCTTCTCAGGCCCAACGGGACCCCTGCACTGAGACACTATGATGCCCCCCAGGGCCGGTGGGAGGGGCTGGAGTGCACTGAGGCCCCTCGTTGGGGGCTGGCCCGGGCTGCCTCTGCTCTCTGTCTATGCCCTCAGGTGCATAACCCTCTCCCGGCAGCTGCCCTCCTCTGTGTTCCGAGGATGTGGCACCTCAGAAATTCTCACTGAAATACCCCTTACCCCCCAGGATGGAATTTACACACCCCTGACTTTTCCAGGTCTGCGGATCCTCCGTGACGGTGCTTCCTCAGTGAGCACATCGCTCCCTGGGTCCTGCAGCTGCCGCAGCGAGGGCAGTGCCGGGTTTGGGGGGACCAGGACCCATCTGTAAAAACCAGAGGTCCAGATCTTTAGGGAAGAGGGAGGTGGTGTCCCTGCACAGACTCCAGCTGCTGTCTCACTATTGGAAAGTCTCCCCAGAGTCCATCCTCTGCGTTGGGGTCTGTCCTGAGTCGGGCTCCACAGAAGCCGCACCTTGGACAGGGCTCGAGGTGCCTGTGGGTCACTGAGGGGGCTTTCCAGGGAGGCGGGCGTGAGAAGGCAGGGCTGAGCAGGATGGGGTCTCAGCTGGAGGCTATGCCCCGAGTGCCTTGGACCATGAACCCCACCAGGCTGTCCGGGGCAGCTGCCGGGGTGGTGGGTCTCCAGGTGACACAGTGGCCAGCTGAGCACAATTATCCAGAGAACGTGCAGCTGTGAGCCCAGGACAGCCCAGCCCAGGGAGCTGGGGGTGGACGCCCCTGCCCGTAAGGCTGACACGCAGGGAGGGGCACCAGCATGACGATGACTGGGGTCCTGGACCAAACTGGAAACTTAGGAGAAAAGAACAGAAGCTAGTTAAATAAGAGTTGGAAGGGACTTCAGAAATCATGCTAGTCCACCAATCTTCTGTCCAGGAGGACACTGAGGCCCACGGCTGTGACTTCACTGCCGAGAGTCTCCACCCTGGACCCCCAGCTGAGTGGGCTCTCCCTCCAGGAGTCTAGAGGAGGGAGCAGGTCAGTGAGCCATGGGGGTGAGGCCACTAGGGACTGGGGTGCGATGCCCAGATCCCTGGGGTGTGTGTGGAGGGCGGTGGGGGCCAGAGGCCTTCCTGCTGGGACAGTGGTTCCTGCCAGGTGTATCCACTGCAGCTGGACCAGCAGAAGTTCATTGTCCCACAGGTGAGGTCGGGGTTCTGGGGTCCACATAGCAGCTCTTAAATCTTAAGTGGATAGACAGGGATGCAGGGAGCCAAAGATGCTTCTGGAATTTTCCACTCAGGCCAAGCACAGTCAAACATCATAAAAAAAAAAAAAAAATCCAAGCCAGACTGTTACAGATTTTACCTGGTATCTGCCAGGAGCTCCGGCCTTGGGGCTGACTTTCCTGCCACAGCCCAGCCACAGAAGACTTCTGAACCTGCATGTGGCCAGCGGCCAGCTGCTCGCGTGCGCCAGACGAGCCTGGCTGGATGCACTCAACGTGGGAGGGAGAGCCTGCCGTCACCCCTGCAGCTGCCGGTCTGCTTGCCTCTCGCTCGGCATCGCCTGTGCTCTTACCTAGTTGTAGCTGGGGGCTTCAACGTTCCAGACAGGAGACCACCCCCACCCCTGCACCCCGTGCTCCCCGAAGAGCGCAGGGGGGCCAAGTGTGGGGCCGGGAGCATGCACTGAGCATTGCCAGGGAGTGCAGCCCCCAGACCCACCAGGAAGCACTCATCACCGGAGCCGCGTCCGAGAGGGAAGGGGCACGTGCCCTGGCAGGGCTTATGGTCCCTGCAAGCCCGGAATTCCGTGACAGAGCTCACGCAGTGGCAGAATGCTCCATAATTTATGGCACAGCATAATTACCTCCAGCTTTACAGTCAACAAAGCCTCTTATCCCAGCCCAGCTCTGCACTGAAAGGCAGGCACAATCCTCCAGGCCCCGAGGGGTTACCTGTCCCCAGCCAAGGGTTAGGGTTAGGGTTAGGGACCTTGTCCCATTTGCCAGCATCGCCCCTGGGCCTGCGGCCCCCAGCCGGGGCCCGGGATGCACCCCTGTGGCGCCGTCTGGCCTCTAACAAATGTGGAGCCCGCATGTCTTGCCTTGATTTCCCTGCAGCGAGGAGTGTGTTAGAGTCACACTAGTCTCACCCCAACCCCCGCCTTCACCAGTGATGGCGCTGAGGCCACAGAGGGTGAGGGCAGCTCCCAAGGTCACCTGAAGGTCAAGGGCAGGTCTGGAGCTGGAGGGTGCATCTGCCAAGAAGGCAGGTCACGGTCTTCCAAGTAGATGACCAGGCCAGCAGTGGCCAAAGCTGCAGGCCCAATACTGGGGTTTGGGTCGCTGCTGGCTGGATGCGGACCCTGATGCTGGCACCCAGGACCCAGAGGGGCCACGAGGGAGCCCACCAACTTGTCCACGACAAACTCAGAGGCTTCAACAACAGGGGTTTGTCATCTCACGGTGCTGGAGGTCAGAATCCAACACGGGTCTCCCGGGGCTGAACCATGGTGTGGGCGGGGCTGGCTCCTTCCAGGGGCTCCGGGAGAATCTGCTCCTCGCCTTTTCTGGCTTCTAGAGGCGCCTGCATCCCTGAGCCCCTTCCTCCAAGTTCAAGGCCAGCAGTGGAGCATCTTCTGATCTCTCTCCCCCAACCCTGTGTGTGTACGTGTGTGTGTGTCTGTCTGTCTGTCTCAGTCTCCTTCTGTCCTGACATTTCCTTCTCAGACTCCACCCTCCTGCCTTCCCCTCCTCTTCTGAGGACCCTTGTGATTGCACTGAGCCACCTGGACAGTCCAGGGTACTCCCCTCGTCTCAGGATATTACCTTAGTCACAGGTGCAAGGTCCCCTTTGCCACATCAGGCAACACCCAGAGGCCCTGGGGAGTCAGGTGGGCACCTCTTTGGGGACATTATTCTGTCTACTGCACCCATGAACTGGTCTGTCTGGGCAGTAAATCAGACAGACCATCCCAAGGTCATCTCTGCAAAGGGACCTAGTCTGCAGTTTCCAGCACCGGAGGCCCGCCCCCAAGCCCTCCGTCCGGCCTGTGGAAAGTGGCTGGCGGGGCTGAGTGTGGAGACCGGGGGTGGGGAGGACATTCTGCGTGTGAAGCAGAGTGGTCTGTGCAGACGTGGATCCAGACAGAGGGCAGACAGCCACGCATGCCTGCCTGGCGACGTAGGGGCCGGCTGCTGGGAGCCCGGGCAGGGCCCAGGAGTGCCCCCGACTTGTCTCCAAGAGACATCAAAGGCCGGGGGCTCCAGCCCCTGTGGGTGCGTCCTGACCATTCCCGCGGCTTCTGGGGAGCCCGAGGACAGGCCTGGAGCTTTCAGGGCCCTCGGCGGCCACTGTGGGAAGCTGAGGTCCAGGGAGGGGAGAGGCCTTGCCGGAGGGAAACCTTCTGGAAAGCTCAGACCAGAAACAGGCCTTGGTGTCCGACAGAGCCCATCCCTCTGCACCATTGCAAGACTGACCGGGGACACAGCCACGGCCGGAGGGCAGCCCAGTGGCCGTGTTTGCTGGGAAGCACGGAGGCCAGACCCCAGCCCTGTGCTGGCTCCCACGTTGCAGACCCGTATACCTTAGGAAGGGCCCCTTTCCTTTCTTTTGGTTTTCTTTGCTTTGCTTTTTTTCCCCTTTGTAATCTTTTCTGCTCTCTGATAACCTTTCAAAGATACGAGGTCTTAAAATTGTATGTTATTCCTTTCACTATGTGTCAAAATACGAGGCTTAATTCTTTGCTCTTCTAGAAATGAGCCAGGACGCCAGGGCGAGGTCGCTAATTCAAGCAGCCCCTTTGCTGTCTCTCTGCTGGTGAGGGGTGAGCTGTGGGCCTGTGTCCACCTCCGTGGCCCATGAACCTTGCCACACAGGCAGTGCCCAGCAGGGGAGGTTGACTGGGAGCCACTCCCGGTGTCGCTCAGCCCCTGGACGCGGGGCCAGGGTGCGAACTCCTCTAAAAGGAGGGAGGTGGCATGCAGGGAAGGGCTCAGGCTTCCCGGGACCCGTGAAGCTGCTCGCTTCTCTGAACTTCGGTGTCCTCACAGGTAAAAGGGCGGTCAGAACAGTGTCCGCTTGTGAATCAAACGAGGTAACACACGGGAAACGTCTGGAAATCACCCTAAGATGCCAGACATCACCGTGATTCAGTCTGGGTGTAAATAACCTTTGCAAATGTGTGGATTTTGACCCCGGAGGCTTCTTGAGTTAGGGCGCATGCTGACCAATTTTTTCTGAATGTCGCTGAGGGAACTAAGAGGAGTTTCTCAACTCGCACAGGTGTGTGGTGTGGACGGGCGACGACCGAGTTTTCTTCTTCAACCCGACGATGCAGCTGTCGGTCTGGGAGAAGCCTGTGGACCTGCGGAACCGCGGGGACCTCAACAGGATCATCGAAGACCCTCCCCACAAGCGCAAACTGGAGGCCACAACAAGTAACTAAGGGCGGGCCCTTTGCACCCGTCCTGTTTAATCTAAACTATACGTTCCCAGTGAATGCGCGAGGAAGGCACGTTTTTCCTGGTTATGTTTGCAACTGATTTTTAAGGAGTCGCGTTCCCCGTTTCAGAATTTAGCAATTACATCTTTATGGTGCTTCCTGCAGAAACGATCCTCCCAAGGGGTCGGCTCTGGCTCTCCTTTGGCACCACGTAACGTTACTAACCCAGAGAAAGCTCTTTATCCATCAGCCCCTCGAAACTTTCTCTGCAGCACTGTTTTTAGCCAGCATGTAATTTTGTTCCAAAGGTCTTATGAACGCCACTTGAGACCAGAGGTAGCACGAGAGAAAGGGTTCTTCCATCTCGCACGCTCCGGCCAGAGCTTTGGATGGAATCCAGCGTCCTGTGTTTGACTGGATGCTCGGGTTCCAGGAAAGCGCACGTGTGGGCGGGGAAGGGTTCCTTTGGGCTGTAGGTGGAGTGGGTGCTTGGCGGAGGGGCATCCGCTTCTGGCGGTGCCCCGCAGAGCTCCTCTCCCCCACGGTCAGGGGAGAGCACTTGGCATTTTCGGAAAGCATCCTTTCCGATTCGATCTCATACATTTTTTACCAGCTGCTGTGTCGGGGAAGCGCCACTCCCTGAGCACATGGGTTACCGTCACGTTGGCGTCACCGGAGCTCAAGGCAGGGAGCTCTCCCTGACTGGCCTGCAGAGCTCGGCTGGAAGGCCAGGCGATGGGGCTTCATCCCCTGAAAGAGGGTTTTACTTTCGTGGGGTGTTTTACTGCGTTTGCAATAATCTTTTCGATTCCACCTCCCGTGGGGCTGACACAGACGACAGACATCAGCCCGCGTTGTTCGTCAGATCCAGAGGCATTTGAATGGACCCTGAGAAGACTGTATCATAAAAGTGGGCTCAGCATTCTGAACAGTGCTCGGAGACGCGGGAAAGATTGCTCTTGCAAAGCCGGTAGTTGTCTGCTAAGGCTGAGAGGTTGGCACAGTTAACCCACCCTCTCACGTGGGATAACATGTGCGTCCCGCAGAGTCAACGCGAGCCAGCTGGCGCTGGGACAGAAACAGCCTAGGTGCGCCTCCCACTGACCTGTGAAGACGAGCTGTGTTCAGGGGCGGTAAGGCCGTTTCCCCCCTTGTTCACGGGCATCCATTATTAAAAGGGTGCTGTGCAGGTGGAATGAAGGCTTGAATGGGAAGCCCTCAGACACCCATCTCCCGAGGTCCCTACTCAGGGGTCAGAGTGTGGCCGGCCTGCGGGGGTCCTGACCCACAGACCCCTCTAGGACATCAAGGCGCAGTTTGTCCTCACAATGATTTGTATTTACTTGGAAGAAGCCAGTGGTGCAGGCGGGCCCGTTTCTCCTCTCTTGAGCTTGCATTCTTGGAGATAATTGGGTGCTGTGTCTTCTTTTGTTTTTCCCTAAGGCGTGGCAGGAGTGAGAAAGGCAGGAACTCATTACCACTTGTGAACAAAAAATACCACAAGCCACATCAGCACACAAGGGAAGCTGTGACCATCAAGTCATCCGCCACCATGGCCGCCCCGACAGCGAGCGGAGGGGACGCAGGCCGGGAACACACGGGACACGGGCCCCAGACAGCGCAGGTGCACGTCTAGGGGACAATGTCAGTGAGCCCTGGCGTTTGCACTTTCCCCTCCATGGAAAAGTGCTGAATTCCTTAACTTGAGACGTCTGGTTTTCTTCAATTAACAGTCATCTTTTGATGTTCTGACCGCCTGGTCTTTGTGGTAAGAACTCCCACATACCCTGGCTCCTCCCGGCCTCTGCAGAGCCGTCCCCCAGAGCGACTGAGAGGCCGTCATCCCGGGTCCGAGGGGCTCCAGTCCTGGGAAACGCCCACCGGGTAAGACACAGCTCTCACCCCTTAGTCTGTGCGTGTGTCTCAGGCGACGCAGCCAGTGCCAGCTGCTCTTGCTTCTCCCCTCTGGGCTGAGTCGAGTCGGGGAAGGGTCTGCACAATTCCCCGACGCCCGTGAGGACAGCAGGTGGAGGGCAGCGTTAAGAGACGGGGAGGCCTATTAGAAATGCGAAGAGTTTATTTGAGCCAAAATTGATTGCAATCCAGCAAGGCCGCCCCGGAAGTGGTTAGGAGTGGGGAGGCTGGCGGGGAGAAGGTGGGGAGGCAGAGAGAGGACACCGGCCGCTGGGCCGGCGACCCCTGACCCCAGCTGGCCCTCGCCACTGGTCCCCCTTAGCGGCTGCGTTGATGTGTACCCTTCAGGCTTTTACGGGCTTGGATTTGGCCCAGCGGCCTCCGTGCATGAGTACTTGCAGCCAGGGTCTGAGTTGCCTGGGCCGCAGGTCAGGGCCCCGGCTCACTCTGCTGCCCTGAATCTCACTTTACCCCTAAAAAGGGAGAGAACGGAGCCTTAAGCCAAACACAACCGGAAACACCTGACTGACCCAGATGTAACACGGCAAGGTGCTCTGTCCTCCACCACGACCCCCGCGGCCCCTCCACTCACCACCCGTGGATCTGTGATGATAGACCTGCAGTTATGCAAAGGGACGGACAGGCCTCCTTAAACCAGCGCATTTTAACCTGCATCTTAAAGAGACGCAAAGGGCCTCAATTCTCACCTTCCTGTGGCAGAGAACTGACATTTACATATGTAACTTCTAACTTCCTAAGACCCGCTCACCCCCACTGCTCTGTCTGCGGCAAACCACCCAGGACAGGAAGCGTTTAGGGGACTAATTAGCAGCCAGCAGGCCGAGCCGTGACCTCCGGCTGTGAGCAGGGGCGTTTTCCCTGGCTGGTCACCCATCCGGGCACATTGAATGACTTGAGCCTAATTATTCTAAGAAGTAGCTCTAGGGGAGATGGTTCTTGGTGTAGAATTCTGTTTTCCGCATTTTGTTCAGCTGTGAGTCACTCTCAGTTTGAGTGCATTACAGCCTGTTGCTTGTCTGACACGGAGCGATTAAGCATCCAGGTGAGAGACAAGTGAGATAAGCGAATTTTACAGGGTAGTGCTACATTTACCGGCTGTTAGGTTTCGAGGTGTGTGTGTGTGCATGCGTGTGAGAGTGTGTGTGTGAGTGTGCACGCGCGTACT